TGGGGTTTTACTGTGTTGTGGGCTAAACGCAGTCCCCATAGAACCCACTCAAGCTCATTGTGTCTCTCATTACGCCGTCTTTTCCCGCTTTTAAACCAGTTTTTGGTTGTTTGTGTCGTCTCCTTTCAGATCTGACCTCCTGGAAACTTCTGGTGCTTTCAGCTGCTTCTGTCCTCTTCTACCTGAACAGTCACCATATGTTCAGGTCTGAACCTCTGGAACGAGGGCTCAAAGGGGTCCATCAGCCTGAGACCAGAACAGGAGGAACAGGTTTAACCTTCTGAAACCCAAAGATCTTCACTTCAAAGAAAGTCCTTCCAGACACACTAATACATCCACAACTAAACAAACGACTGTAAACTTTAGGAAAAATCCTACAACATCCTCTCGTGCGGGGATAAATGACCAGCCTGATCTTCAAGCTTCAAGTGAAGCGTCTCACTCACCTAAATGTGTCTCGGCACCTCAACTCCACTAAAGGAGTCAATAAACAAGCACTAAAGGGTCTTTTGTTATGTACTTAGAGAATCTAACCCACAACCAGGCTCATATTTAGGGTCACGTCATTCAGTTAGGAACTTTAATTAGCAAATTTAAAAAGTTAAGCAAAAATCTGACTGAAGCCTGAGATCTGCAGCAGATCACAGTTCACATACTGACCCCTGGTGGTGCTGCAGTGACTTCAACCAGACGGCTGGGTTTAAAGGGATGTGAAAAGAGCAGTGAGGTGTTCATATGAGCAGGGAAACAGGGTCTGTTTCTCCCATTTGTACCAGCAGCTAAAAGAGCTCTTCCTAACATGCTTTGTCTTTTATGCATGACGCTCACTTTGTGCTTTAAACAATACCACAGTTTACACCCTTTACACTGTGCAGGTGTCCGTGGAGATGACTTTATTTATGATACCGCATATCATCATGACCAGAACACCGACCTGTACGCCTGCACTCTGACGCACGGTCAGTCTTGCCTCAACGACGCGTCCTCTGTTCCAGCAGCCAAACGGAGGCGATCCTGCTGGCGTAGATCACATAAGACCAGGACAAAACCACAACTGCCAACAATACCTGAAGGCCGGAGAGAGACTTGATTCAGGACTTCAAACCTTGGAAAGATGGTTAAATGTGCTCTAAGCAGCATTTTTAAACACATTTTGGACAATTGAATCTATGCCATGGAGAGTTAAAGCAGCTCTGAAGAAGAAAATAATGTCAAACCAGCAAGTTGTACCTAATATATTGGCTGATGAGTGTATAAGACCACACACAACTTTTCTGTGACAAACTCACATGATGCTGACATTCAGACTATGACTGTTTTCCTGTCGTACGTAATAAACAAAAATTGAACCACAATAAACGCACACGATAAAGCAATTTGTTACATGTCGGTAATTTTGTGTTTTCACAATCAAACAGGCATTCCAATGTTCTACGTGTTCTGTTTTTGTGAAAGATGTGAGTGAAAATTTTTTATGCATTTATTTTTGGTCTTTATGATGTTAAATATCAGCTTGTTAGTGTCTTCCTCGCTAGCTTTACTGTTTCCAGGCTGTAGCTTGTTGCTAACGGTTACCGCTTCTAGTCCCGGTGACTGAGCAGCGCGCGCAAAACGAGTAAAGTCAATAGAATAAATAAAGCAAATTTACCGCGGAGTAAATCCGGTCCAGAGCCCGTCTGCTGAGTGCCTCCATCTTCTGTTAAAACCTAAAAACTAAACACAAACGCCGCCTCAGTTTAGTTTGTTTACGGTTCTTCTTCTTCGACTGCTGCTGCTTCTTCTTCTTGGATTTCCGGCAGACTAAAAAAAAAGGCGCATTGCTGCCCCTTCAGGTCCTTCAATTAATCAACAGGAGATGTCAAATAAAAAAATCAAATAAATTAGATAAATAGAATA